ATATTTGCAGAAATCCCCAAGATTCCAGTAATTTTAACCAACAGACAGATGCATGTAATTATCTACCAAGGAGAGCCCTCTAGTGTTTAAAATCAACACAGAGATAATAGTTTCATATACAACTGCACAGCTGTTAAAAAGTGATATGGAAGAAGATGATATAAACAAATCTAAAGATAGTGTTAGGTGTTGACATTTCAAATGGGGATTAAATGGTTCCAGCTGTTCCAGTTTTCAGCCAGTGGCTCGATTTACATTAACATAAGCTTATTGTGGAATTATAGAAAATTATGTACTTTTAGATGTTCGTTAAACAACATTTTAATCTAGTAAAAGCACTTAAGTCACTTTGATTTCTTAAAAAGTGTTATCAAAAACTTTAAAAAGTGTATTATGCAAGAGTTGACTCCAGTTTTCCAGATACATTGATCTGAAATGCAGGTCCGCACTCAGCGTAAACAAAACACTTGACTGAGCCATCCAAAAAAACTTGTGGAAGCTTGAGTCCCATGGCTGACCTACATTAGTCAGTAGGTAAACAAATACAGCTGATCTTTTTTTAGTTACTTTGGCTGTTTCTAAAAGTAAACAAACTCCATGTGGTAGTTGGTGTCCGGTCATGCTGCTTACAAATCTGGACACGTTAACTATTAATATGAGAAGACGATTGTGCAGCTTTTGTTTCCTATACTTTATTTTATTCCAATCTTAACAATTTTGCATTAAAATACTGCTGTCATTTATCTAAGATTCATTATGGTAATAAATGTAACATATATTTCTGCTATTTCCAAGCATGGATTACAGAAAAAACTGATAAGGCTGGAGATTAAATGCTCATCCTATTGTCCTACAAGAAACATGTAAAGCTGGATTTCTAAAACTAAGAAAATAAGAAAAAAAAAATTATGTGTCTTCCACTTGCTTCTTTTAATTTTCAAAGTTGTGCATAATCGCATAAAAAAATCATATTCTAGCACTTTTTAATAATAATACGCTTCCTGAGGGACAAAACAGATATTTAGCAATGTGTAAAAAAAGACACTTTATATTTTTGTATTATCTAAAACTGTGCAGTAATGTTCCACATTTTAATGTACTATAATCTATGTGGACCAGACTACTTTAACGATTGACGTTTAATTTAACTAATCAAAAATTAAACAGTCCCGTAAAACATGAAACATTAAGATGAATCAAATTACATTTTAATACAATACTGTACACATTTATTTATAAAGCATGTTGAAAAGAACGTCGGCCAAAGTGCTTTATAATTTAATTATTTAAAGCTTACATACACCTTATAAAATCATGTTACGTAAAAAAGAGGAGACTTGTGAGACAAGTACACATTGACCTAAAGTTCAAGTACAATTTCTTTAGTATTTTAATATAAATTAGATTTTCACAATGAACCAGTCAACATGATGAACATGTGAGGAGGGGAGAAACACTTTGAAACCACAGGAGGAAGAAACAGGCGAGGCAGGAATAGACAGGACATACATGTGGCAGTAAATCACGGCAGGAATGGACGCACTTCTATTTAAAACACTCGGCTGCTTTATTTAGGATGGGCGTAACGTACAGTAAATAGGCCAATCTGCTTCTCTTTTTATTAGACTTATAATGTTTTTACCAGGTCAATTTGTCCTACCAGTTAAATTAATGAAAAAATAAGGATAGGCATCTGTTAAAATAAAATGATTAAAAAAAATTAGAATATTTCTGAATATTAGAAGGGTAGGCTACTGCCTAAAATTCCCGCATAACTTCCCAATAAATGCCAATATTTCAATATATGAGCTGTAGCAGTAGTGTATGTTAAAGCTGCTACTGTGGCTAAATATGGTCACCATGGTAACCACACACCTGTGTCTGTCACTCCCTGACTGATGACAGGCACACTGAAAAATAAGCCTCAAATAAACAGTTGCTGTGCAAAAACAATAAATCAAATTTTAAAACGTCTTAAAACTGCTTACAGGAAAAATATTTGATAGTCGTGACATTTTTACATTCTTATGAGATATCCATCATCTTTACCTGCTACTTCCTTTCCTTGTAGCGGGAATCACAAGTTTAAAAAAAAAAAACCCTCTTCGCTTCCTGTTTTTGAACGTTTTAAGCTAAAATTTAAATCAAGTTTGTGTAAGCTTGGTTGTACACAGCATTCTGTGGAGGGATTTAAGAGAAAACCACAAGTGTAGCTGTGAGAGACACACCAAGTGAAACACGACCAAACAGGGTGTGTGAATAAGAAGTCAGGTTGCAAAATAAATAATTTAAAACAAATCAAAAGTAGTAGTGTGACATCCTCACCATTCAATTAAACAATGCATAAAAAATGGATAAAAATCCTAAAACTTAAACTGCAATTGCTTTAAAACCATAAAGTATAACAACATGCCAGTGCAGAAATGTGAAGCACATTATCCCTAACGCAACCGCACGTTGTGATGATTACGCTTTATTTCAAGGTAGAGTGATGAGATACAAGAGGCAAAAATATATAAAACACTTCTGCATGCCCTAATAAAAAAGACTTGAAATAACTTTTAGACTTGTTATAACACACAGAGAGCAAAGTGGTTGAAATGCATATTAATTTGTATTTAAATAAACAAATTAGAAAATATGTGTGAATGCTGAGACTGAATGAACACTACGAGCAGACACGGTGTCTGTTTGCTGGTTTAAGATTAAACTTATTTGTTATCTTAAATTGTAATAATTGATAAGGCATATGATGCAGTTACAGATGTTCTATTTTCTCCCATCATTGTGTGGATGATGACGCATGATGTTAGGACAGAGAATCAGTGGAGCTTAGTAACAGGTTGTCATCATTTTTGTGTTTTGTGAATCACATCTCGTGCTGGCGAAATGAGTCAAAAAGAGCACAAGCTGCAGCGCAACACAAGTTTTTTTTTTTTTTACAAAAAAATAAGTTTGTTAAATGATCTGTTACTAAAAATCACAAAAAAATATCCTAATCTACATTTACAATACTGTTTTTTTTTTTTTTAACAGGTAAGTCTACAGAAATAATCCTTTAAATTTTAGTTCTTTTAATTTCATTTGAAAGTGACAATTTTTCTCTGCCCGGAAATCCCTTTATATAATGTTTAGCATCAATGTGAAACTTGTAGATTCCCATTTTTAAATATAGGGCTAAAATTTCCAATGACATCATTCTAAACAAATTAAAAAAATCAAGTTTCCATTGTTAACAAAACTAGCCTGTTGCCAGGTCAGCAGATAAATCACCAAATTTCAACAGACTACGGATCACTTTGAAGCTTTTGAGATGGAGAAATTAAAAATAAAACGTCACTATTGAAAATACTCATAGTCACCACAAGTAAAAAAAAAAAAGATAAACTGTTTTAAATCAGCATTTCAGCGACCCCTCAGTTTAACCTGAGACCCAGAAAGGTCTTCAGGTGTTATAAAACCAGCCAACAGCCTGAAACATTTTTAAATTGTACACCCCGATGATCCAAAAGCAGATTCACCGAGCATGCCGCTTCTGTGGAGGAACAAGACTTCAGATACAAGTTGTCCTGTTCCACAAGATTATAAGCAGGCAGATAAACGAGTAACGCCTGAACGAAGCTGAACTTGTTGATTCTGAGCTGACAGATATTTACACGGCTGTGTCGTTCTTCCTCGGTTATTTGATCAGGTGGTCTCTGTTTTGTGTCCACGTGGGTGTAAACAGTGGAGCTCCTGCTCCTACAGGAGCTCCGAGTGGAACAAGAGAAAAACCAGAGAGAACCAAGAAAGGAAGATTGCAATAAAAATACAATGATACTATCAACTTCATTAGCAGTATGCAATAAATTGCCCTAAGCATTATCAAGTTAAAAACGAATTAAAAGTTATTAAATGAAAAGAAAGGTGAGCGATCACTGAATCAACTGTGCAGATGTTTCGGTACGCACCGCATGTAAACAAAGCACTATTCCCTGCAGACGAAACATCTGAGCATAAATACGCTACAATACGTCAAAACTGCTGGACTTAATCACAAACTGCTCTTCCATGGATGCACGTGATGTAAGCGGCAACCCTTTACAAACTCATGTTACAAATTTAAAATTCTTAAATAACACGAGAAAAAATTGTGCAGGTTTGTATGATTTTTTCATTTTATTTTTTTAAAGCAGGCTTCATGACATTGCACCTTTGTGTACCCTTAATCAACACTAGATGAGATGACAAGTATTGTTTTTTAACACAAGAACATAGAGTTGTGTTTTGGACTCTTGCAGGATGAGATTTACCTTGTTTTATTTTTCATCGAGTTTCCATATTTAAATTGTGGCGTTTCCTGGGTCAGAAGTGAAATCCTGTCATGTAATAAGTACAAAAAGGTTTAAAGTTTAGTAAAATAAGCTTAAACCCACAAGTTCAAAAAGATATTCATCAAACTTTGCTGATTAGAAAAAACATAAATATGTACTGATGACATAAAAAACTCAGGTGGAAAAAGACTAAAAGTTAAATAAAGATAAAATGAGGACTCGCCTCCTTCCTGCTGTTTGTTAAACTAACAAATATCATCTAGATGAGAAGGTGAGGCACGTGCAGTTTACACCACTACACACACACTTCCTGGATGAGACAAAATCTCTAGCCCAACAACAAATAACCCAAACACTAATTTACTGTAAACATTTATTGAAAAACAAACATGATGACATTTTATATAAAAATGTTCCTTTGAGATTAAACTTCATCTGGTGAACCTTTAAGAAACAGTAAATACAGTTTCAAAATAAAATAAATAAAGATTATTTATTAATTTGAGCAAGTAAATGGTTTTTTGGCTTCTCCTTTGAGAGTGTGAAACTCAAGTTTCCAAGAAGGTAATAAACTGAACGGGGAACTATAAAAGTCAACGTGACTCAGTCTGTGTGAACTGCAGGTTTTAGTAAAGTCATTAAAATTTCTCTGTACAGTGAAGAGTGTAAACCTATAAACAATTTAACCGGCTCAGACACGGCGGCAGCCTCGGACTCTTGGCTTTTGTGTTAGCCGTCTGGGTCAGAGGTCAGGAGAGTGTGAACAGGTGACTTGCGGCCAAGCGAGAGGATCTGTGGGAAGCTGCTGGACTTGGCTGCAGCCACTGGGCTCACCACGCAGTGGGCTGGAAAAGTCAAGAGTTACATTTACAAAAAAATACATAAACGTGTCAAAACATGCTATTCTTTCTAGGTACGTATGCAGCTAGCTGTCAAACTAACTACTGCTCTCATTTGAAAACCTGATTATATTACTGGAGGGTGTCAAACAGGAAGGGGAAAAATACATTTACCAAGAGACACAAAAAATTAAAACACAAAAAGTGATGTTACACAAAAAATAACCAAGGAAAATTCTAATACTCACTCTCACTGTTTATTATCTGCCCGATCAGCCCAGGTGTCTTCAGAAAAAGTGTCTCACTGTACGCAGCATAAATACACAGACAGTCTCACATCACATCTTAGGTTGAATAAGAGGAAAAGAGGAGCCGTCATTTAGCACCACGAGATGTACGTAACACTTTAAAATACAGTAGTCCCTCATTTATCGTGGGGGATCCGTACCCTGAAGACCTGTGATAAGTGAAAAACCGCAAAGTAGAAATGGTAGTACAACTAGTAAGTAGTAGCTTTTTAAAATTATACATATATATTTATATATATATAATATATATGTATATAAAGGTGTTTTAAACCCTTCCTACACTCTTGCAATATTCTGAACAATGTTTCTAAACTAAACGCTCTAAAAGAGCACAGAATGTCATGATTTCAGCTCCCTGCCTCGTCTGCTCTTTGCCACCTGCAAGCGCTCTTGGCCACGCCCACTTCTCTTCTGCACGGTGAACAGCTGATCATGCACTGAGAACAGCTGATCAGCTGCAGCAGGAAGTTTACTCTGCAGTACGGGCTGCGCAAAGGGGCAAAAATACCATGTCGATCATGCGGATCATCCATCAATCAGCCAATTGTGTGCCATGTCCAATCTTATTTTGAAAAAACTGCGATAAGAGCGAATCCACGATAAACGAACCGGGAAGTAGCGAGGGACTACTGTATACAAATATTAAAAATATGTCAGGTGATCTATCCTACCTGCTGCACGTCTTTCTCCTCAATTTGGAGCAAGCTTTTACCCTTTCATTTTCTGTCCTGCGTTGATAAAAAGAAAATATGTTAAATTTAAATTTAATTAATCTTAATCTTATTTTATGACATAACAGAACTTTGATATTTTTGTTCTAGTATGATAGCTGAAAGTTTGTATTTGTCATTTGGATTCACCTCCCTCCTACTTTCCAGTGGCTACTTACTCAATTCTGTTTTTTTAATTATGAGCTATGCTGCTAAAAAGCTAATCTTTGTAGCGCGTGAGAATGGAACCAGACGTACGGCGTGGTTCTGTGCTGGTCCTCTGGTGCGGACCTCCTCCTGTGGAAGCTGCCGCCAGAAATCTTCCCATCGGTGTGTGGTCTGTGGTTCTCTGAAATCACTCCTCGCAGATCTCTGGTAAGAGAACCGATCCCACAGGTGGAACTCTCCTGCTTCTTGGACTTCAGAGGCCGAAGAGGAGAAAGGAAACACAAAGTAAATACAGAGCTGGAGTGATATTTACCTAACTGAGCTGACCGGCTCAGTTTTACCAGACAATCTTATGAGATTTCTTTCTTCGACTCTTAGCGCCAGCATATTTGATCAGGTTCAATCAATAAACACATCCGTCTCAGCAGAGCATCGCTGCAGGACAAAACTAACTAAACGGTGTTACACAGCTGTGTTCCAGTCTGATTCCCCTCCTAGCTGCAGGAATGTAACTCAGTCAGTGTTTTGTATCTAAAGACAAAGCAGATGTGCTGAGCCTGTATCTGTGCAGCCACATTAAAATGATCTACACATGAACTCGATGGACTTAAATCAAAAGGGATGGGTAGGGAGGTTCTGACTCTACCTTGGTCTGAGCAGATGAGGACTGAGAGTCCTGAGGAGGAGATACAGCTGGAACTGTGCACAAATTCTGACCCTGCAGCTCCTACAGAAAACAGAAAACATGTTCTACTTAAAGACTTACTGAGGAATGTTCACTCAAAAACTTGGCACTCGTTTCAAGGGGAAAAGATAAGCATACATGCTGATGATGAATGTTTGAAGAAAGTTTTGAGAATTGGCTGTTTTGGAGAGTTTGAGATGAGAGACAGATATGAGAACTCTCTCATCTCCACAAAATTATCCCTAAAAAAACATTTAGCAAAAAATCTTAAAGAAATGTATTTTTCTTTTTTTCAGAAATCTTCCGAGTTTTATTTGATGTTTTACTTTCAGTCCAGCAGGACATTCAGATCCTGTAAAACTGTTTGTGGTTCTAAACTTTCCACATTTCAGTTTGTTTTTTTGGTACTTTCAATTCTAAAGAAATTCTGACCGATCTTCATCAGATTAGTGCATTTCCACATTCTACTGCTCTTTGCCAAACTCTCTCAGCGTTATCGCTCAGTTGAGAACCAAACATCCGAGATTAAAAATCTAATTCTGATGTAAACAGGTGCGTGCTGAGTGAAGTTAGTAAGGCAAAGGTACACTACAGTCAAACTGTAGAGGATTCTCAATAGAGTATATCAAAGTTCTGTTGCGTCATAAGACAAGACAAAGCAAGATAAGATAAGATAAGATAAGATAAGATAAGATAAGATAAGATAAGATATGATACGATAAGATAAAACTTTATTGTTCACTAAGGTGAAAATTTTCCTTTGGCTCTCCAACCATAAAATAAACAACATTCATACAATCACAATATCAAAAATTTGTGCATAGACTAAAACATTTTGCATATCTTAGGTAAATGTTATCATTTGGTTTGGTTAAAAATAGTTATTGCACTTGGAATAAATGGCTTCTTATAAATATATATAACTTAAAAAAAAAAAAATCTTCTTTCGGCTGCTCCCTTCTTCAGGGGTCGCCACAGCAAACTAACTTGCACGAAGACTTGGAAATTGTTTTTATGCCCGATGCCCTTCCTGACGCAACCACAGACCACCGAGCTACCGCAGCCCTCTGTGTGGAGCAGAGAGCTGCTTATACGGCACCCAGGGGAGCAGATGGTGGGGGTTAAGGGACTTGCTCAAGGGCCCAGAGCGGGGCAAATGAGGGTGGAGGCAGGTGTGGGTGTTTCACCTTTCGCACCCACATTACAATGTTGTCGGTACTGGGAGTTGAACCAGCGATCTTCTGATCACAGGCTTGCCTTCTCTAATCTCTGTGCCACCACTCCCCTTTCTCAAAGGGTTTGATTACCTAAAAATGAGATATAGTATAAAAGTGTAATATTGTAACCTTTTATTGTAGATAAGATAACCAAAGACTTTTTTTTCCATGTTTAACATTTTAAATAACTTCCTGCCATAATTTCAAAAGTTGCAGAGATATACATTGTAAAAAGTGGGTAACCAATATTTCTCCTTGTTTTGTTTTCTTCTTCCATTCAACCTTTATTTAAACAGGTTAGTCTCATTGAGTCACGTGGACTCATTTACAAGAGAGACCTGTTGTAGACAGACAACATATAAAGTACAATAAAAATGCTATTCAAATTGTTGTGCAATTGTTGTTTATTGCCAGCTCTACCTTCAGGTCCAGAGCGTGTTGGAGTTTCAGGCGAAAATACTCCTGCTCCCTCACTTGGAGGAAGTCCTGACAGTTGGCAAAGCTCTCTGACATCTTTGGAAACAAGCGAGAGAAAACAAACGTGAAAACAACAACAGAGTAAAAGAAACAAAGATGCAAAAAGAAGCAGAATATTGGTAAAAGCTAAAAGAAGCAAAACACTAACTGATAGTAGCAAAATGCCTGCTAAAAGCTAAAAGTAGCAGAATGCTAGCTAATAATTAAAAAAGTGGTGTAAGAATAGAGCGAGTATGGTGGAGAAGATTTCAAATATATCGATGTTTTTGAAGGAATTGAACAGATCCTAATGTATTTCTATAGGGGAAAAAATTTCTAAACAAATTTAAACAATGGTACTTAAAAAAAGTTACAAAAAACAAGTTATAGGACTCATCTCCTGAATGAGGAGAACATTTCGACACATGAATGGCTAAACTAAAACAAAATATTCAGAAGTAGATTGAAAATAATGTATGGGCAGTAACACCCCTCTGAAATCATTTTAAAACTTTGCTAAACACATTCCAGAGTCTTAACTGGAGTTAGTGGGAGAGATCATATCTCTCCAGTTTTAGCTTCTCTCCATTGGCTCCCTGTCAAATCCAGAATAGAATTCAAAAATCTTACTTCTAACCTACAAAGCTCTCAACAACCTAGCTCCATCTTATATTACAGATCTTACTGTTCCATATTTTACTAACAGAGCACTTCGCTCTCAGACTGCAGGTTTACTTGTGGTTCCTAGAATTTACAAAAACAGAATGGGAGGCAGATCTTTCAGTTATCAGGCTCCTCTCTTGTGGAACCAACTTCCAATCTCTGTCCGTGAGGCTGACACATTATCCAGTTTTAAAACTCGGCTTAAGACTTTCCTTTTTGTTAAATCCTATAGTTAGGGTCGGCTTGGGTTTCCTGAGCTGTCCCTTAGTTATGCTGCTATAGGCTTAGACTGCTGGACAAACTGACCACACTTTTCACTCTGCTACTGTCTTTACTTACTCTGCTCAACCTGTTTTGTATTTATAATTATTTTTTCTATCCTTAACATGTGATTTTTTGTCTTTCAGTTACACCTGGACCTGCCATTCTGTGTTCGTCTGTCTCTCCTTTCTGTCCTCTCAACCAGCCGGTCAAAGCAGATGGCCGCTTGTCCTGAGCCTGGTTCTGCTGGAGGTTTCTTCCTTTTAAAAGAGAGTTTTTCCTTTCCACTGTTGCCACTGTGCTTGCTCAGGATGGGAGACTACAACGAAGCCAAGATTCAACTTGTCTGCTGGATTCCTTAGATATAGAACTTTACTAATTGGCTTTTATGTATGTGAATGTTCCTGTAAAGTGCCCTGAGACAACTTTGTTGTGATTTGGCGCTATATAAATAAACTGAATTGAATTGAATTCCTCCGAAAACATGTTGAATTTTAGAAAGCACATTTATGCTTTAATCTGACAGTATGTGGGCAGTGTTAAATATTTCACCTTGTGAAGGATTGCCTCCAGTTCGCTGATCCGCTCCCTCAGCTGTTGGTCTTTGGAGCGAAGGGCCTTCAGTTCATTGGCGAGCTGCCTCTTCTCCTCCCTGATAAATGTGAGTTCTTGGAGCTGACGGTGGGTCTCCAAGCTCTGGGAGTGTTTCTCCTGGAAAGGGATAAATAAATGAGCAAATGGCATGTTGTTTAAAATAAAGCATTAAAATTGTCATTAGATGACAACAAACATAAGATGTATCAAATTTACTGCAGAAAAGGAGGTTTCAGGTTTAAAAGTGCTTTAACCTGCTGCAGCTGCTCCACTTTCTCCTCTAGACGTTGAATTCCACCTCGCAGAGAGTCAACCTGCTCTCTTCTTGCAGTGATCTCCTTCTGCATGTCCAAAGCAACCTGAAGGCCTGAGGAGGAAACAGACTTACCGGCTGATTTGTTTTGGTGTTTTAAAATGTGCTACACGTTAACATAGTGGTAGCAATCTATCCGAAAAGAAGTTGAGAGCATGTAAAAAATAAAAAAGGCAAGTTTCATTAAACTTCCTGGATAAATTTATGTTCTCAGGACATGCATTATTAAATTTTATGAAGACAAAATTAATCAACTGTTATCTGCAGACTTTAATATTTAAAAGTGAGGCACTCTCTTATTTAAATGAAAGTGTGGCTCAAACCATGTCCGTCCACTCCTTGGAGGGTCCTCAGGGTGTGTCTGATCTTATCCAGCTCATCGCAGGCGTTAATCAGCTGACTCTGAAGCTCTAGCACCACACCCTCGTGCTCGTCGTTCTTACAGCTGTGGAGCCGCCGCAGTTCCTTGAACTCCTCTGAAATCGTGCCCGTAAAAACACGAGTTACATCCAAGGAAGGTGCATTCACACGTAAACAAAAAAAAACATTGCAACAATAGAAGGGCTTGGTTGACAATTTAAGCATACCAGAGACAGTCCTTTGCTGTTTTAACACGGCTGGACAAGAAGATCATTTGATCTGACAAAAAACAAATAAAAATCTCTAAAGCTAAACTCTTACTAGGAAAATCTGTGAGATTTATGATTCCTGGTAAATGGACATCCTGACATCTGCAGTCTCCTGGACCGAGAAGATTCCTGTTTCACATGAGTTTATATTCAGGATAGTATGTTACCACAAACTGATAAAAATGTGTCTCAGGGCTAAACAGCACAAGTTACAAAACTATTTTCTCAGTGCAACGTACTTCAAGCCTTAGCACTGTTAACTGTGCAATCTGACACACCTTTTGAAACGTTAAACAGATGAACATTCACAAGGGGAGCAGAGTTCCAGGAATTTTCAAGGTTGGAAACTTTTCACTGGATTTAATGGGAATAAACTTGGAATTTAAAATACTTAAGGTTGACCTTTACAAGGGATTTTAAATACAATTGGATTAAATATATTTTAGCATAATTTGGACAAAAACGACCTAATTTAATTTCTGTACCGTGCAGTGAGAAGTACCACACACTAAAAAATGATGAATTGTCACCTGGACAGATGGAAATAGTAATGTGTAAACGGTTTTGTTCAGAGTTGTAAATAGTTTTGAAGTGAAATGCAATTAATAAAGAAATGTTTTGTTTCTATATGGATAAAATAAAATATATAAATAACAGGAAAATAGTTATATTCAGTTATGTGCATTAATTAGTAAAGGACGATGAACAAAAGTGAAGTTTAAACATGTTTGAAACCCATCCTTCTCTAAAGGTTGTGACATCATACGCAGATTAGGTCCTTAAAACTGTGACTTTCAGAAAATTAGGGTCAAACTCATTATCTGCCAATAAGACAAAATGTTTGGATGTCATACAATTTGTTTACCCTCATTTTCTAGTTATTTCCCATAATTCCCATGAAAAACTTCCAATTTGAAATATTTCCAAAATTCTTCAGCTTAACTTTCCTTGGAAAATTTCCACTCCTGTTCACAAGCTACAGCTGTTTAAGGTGAGTGCAACCCAAATGATATGAAACAGCACGTGAGGTGATACACTTTCTTACTGGAAAGATTAGTCTGCTGCACGCGCTGCAGCTCCAGCTGTGCGGTGACTTGATTTTTCTCCAGCGTCTCCTCTCGGATGCGCTGACTTTGCTCAGCCACAGAGGCCCTCAGCTGTCTCCTCTCACTCTCCACAGAAGCCAAGTTGGCCTCACGTTGGACTAACTCAGCCTGATCAGAAGAAGAAAACGAGAAACTGAATCAGAGGCAGTGGAATCAGCAGTGGTGTTAAACAGAACATCAGTAGGAAGAAGATAATGATGCATCTTGGGAGCTTTTTGTCTGACCCTAAGCTGTTGAATCTCCAGCTTGTGCTGGTTGAGCTGTTGGATGAGGAGGCTGTTCTCCTGCTGAAGGTTGTCGATCGTGTGCCTGTGCTGTTTTGTCGTCTGGATGCTGCTCTCAATCTGCAGCCTCAGAGCGCTGATCGTCTTCTCTCTGTCATTCAGCTTCATCCTCAGTGTTTCTTCTTCAGCCTGCAGAGTCTGACACTGACTCTGAGCATCTTCTAAACTAACAAGATGCTGAGGGGAAAGTGATCAAAACAGGCAGGCAGTTAGGACATCTTCATTGTGGCTTAGAAAAAATAATCATTTTCTACGGTCCTCTGTTGGGTTTGTTGCTGCCTGAAGTGAGGTTCATCCTCGTTTTTCTGCAACAGTTCCTGGGATTTCCTCACCTCCTGGGCTTTCTGCTCCAGCAGGGTCTGTAGGCAGGTTTTCTGCTCTAGAGCTTTGCAAAGCTGCTCCCTGGCTGCCTCCAGCTGTCCTGTCTGAACCTTTGCATCCTCACGGAGCTCAAGCTGCTGCTGCTCACAGCAGGACAAGTAAAAATGAGGAGAGAACAGAGGTTTGATGATGATTACCTGAAATATTTAAACAAGCAAAACTTTTCAGAAGCAAAACTTTTGATTTGAAAATTAAGTATGTATATAGTTGAAAAAAACATTGATCTTTTATATTTTTGACACAATTTTAATGGTTTCGAGTTCACTTTGCTTAATTTTGATCGATGAGACATTTATTCTGACATGCTTTTGATTCCAAACATATCTAAGAGCAACACTGGTCATGTGTCTCCTGACACTCAAAGAGCTCCAAGAAATTACACGAGTACTGTTGGCCTTTTTACAGTCCTTTGTTCAAAAAATAAAAAGCTGTTACCACAACCGTAAACATGACTGTCAGAATAAAAGCCTCATCACTGAGAACCCCTCAAAAAATGTTAGCAATTACATAAACATTATGTTTGTAAATCAACAGATTTACTCCTGAAATGTTGTATTTTATTTGCTTTGTTGGTGTTTTATATCAGACTATTTTATTATAATTGTATTTATTTATTGGTACAAATCTTATTCTACAGAGAAGTGTTTAAATGATTTTCAAATGATTAAGGTAGACAGATAGATTATTAATGCCAAAGGATCTTATCAACTTTAGGATATACCTACTGTGTACCACTAAATGTATAACCAAATCAGAGTTCAGGATCACTTTGTCAAACTAGTTTTAATCATCTTTGATTGCACAGCAACAGTTTGTATTTTCCGGTGTGGCTCTGCTCTGGAACCTTGCAGTCATTTCACAAACAAACATGAAAAACCTGAGTCGGGAAAAACAGCAATAACAGCTCCAAGTATGAAAGAGCCAAATCAATGACAGAAAAGACACTGATTTAATCAGACCCAGATGGAAAATGGAGGTGGGTTGTGAAACAGCTTACAGATGAGGAAGAAAAGAAAAGTAAGCTGGGTTAGTTTAAATAAAATGTCTTAGATTCGTGAAATAAATGTGTAGAAGGAAAACAGCTAGTCAATTGGTTGGCTATGATATCAGCCGATGTTTCACAATGTGGGCTACATTTGCCCTTCCCGAACAAACCCTCCACCAGATTTACTCACTGATTTTGTGGCCTTTTGTGTTTATAAGTAATCAGCACTGGTTGGTGATCATAGTACACAAATATCGCTTCACTGGCTCCTACATCATATACCTCACAGAAAACCATTTAAATGATTCAATCTCACCTTTAACTTTGAGCATTTTAGAAAGATAATATATACTGAAATGTTCTCTAAAGTAAACCAGATACTTGAATTTCTATAAGAGTTTTTTAATTGACTAAAGCAACAAACTATTTGCAGATGATGCATAAGAGACACATTTATGACTCACTGTAGTACCTTAAGCTGACAGAGGTGGGACTGGAGGTCTTTAACCTGCTGTAGTGATTGCTCTCTTTCTCTCTGGGTGTTAAATAGCTGAGTCTGACTTTCAAGGATCTTCTGTTCCAGAAAACAAACCTACAACACATCAAATAAAAATTACAAACCAAATGAAGAGGTTTTTTTTTTTTGATTAACAACTCAAGCAGTGTTACTTCGCTTCACTTTCAGAATTTCCGAAACGTGTTGGATTTAACTTAGAGCCACTTTATTTTACTGAGATTTACATCAAGTAAAGAGGGTCCAAACGTTTATAACACTGTGTTAGAGTGAAGAGTGTTTTAATGCTGCTACTGGTGCTGACACAATATTGAGTGTTTTTTTTTTTTACCTTATCTTTGTAGCTGGAGATGTCCGACTGAAGTTCACTGATCTGACGGTAATGCAGTGAGGTCCGTCTCTCTGCCACTTTTCTATACATTTAAATGGATTTAACAGTTTAATAGTTACAACATTCTCCAATATATTTACAGTAATTATGAATTTATCACCACAGAATATATGAACTAGATTATTTACTAACAAACACAGCTATATAAATTATTTAAAAATATTATTCTCGCTTACTTTAGCAACTCAAACTGGACACACAGGTTGATGCCTTTGTCTTTGGATGAGCTCAGATTTTCGGTGAATGTCGCCATCTCCTGGCTGAGACTTGTAATCAGGTCTTCAATACTGAGACAATGTCAAACAAGTGGCATGTTAATTAAAGCCAATGCAATAAATAAAGTACAATATTTCCACACATTGTTAGTGTTAATTTTTCACAATAAAGTTTAGCAGGTAGAATTCAAAATTTGATACTAAATGCCTTAATAAGGGCAGGGCTTCTTAGAAGCTGCAGCCCCATGACACTTCCATCCATCTCCGACGGATGTACAGAACATCATTTCACTGTATTTAACTGTGCAATGATAATAAAGCTGACTCTAAATATTATTTTTCTTATGCTAAAGAAACTAGCTGTAAAAACTTGTACTGTAATACAATTTTATTATTTTAATATAATTTTATTTTCTTAAGTGGTACTCATAAAAAATTGAGAACCACCAATTTAGTGATTTTTTTTTTTTTAAATGTTTGCTATGATAAAATAATAAATTTGAAGCTGATATTTGCACTTTAAGATGGATTTATTTAAATTATTTCACTAAGTAGTTCATAAAATAATTATGAAAGCACGATCTGACATTCAAACATACTGGTAAATATTTACCTTTCTTGCTGATTTACTCCGTTATAGTTTTCACTCCCTTGTTGTTCTTTTGACTAATATAAAAAGATTAATAAAATCAATTTACACTTTCAGGATAGGCACTAAATTGTATTGAACATAAACGTGATTTTGAAAACACTATAACTACTCACTGAAAAACTTCTCTTCTGCAGTTTATTTGTGTTCTTGGTGAGATCTTTGTTCACATGAACTACTTGTGCTTGGCTCATCCCAGCATTATTGCTGATGGAGGTGTTCCCACATTGCCTCAGTGTTTGGTAAACCTCCTTTACAGACTGTTCTAGTGATTCAACCTTTCTGTCAAGTTCTAACGCCTCTTCCTCAGATTCTTGGAGCTTCTGGTCTGGAAATCTTTCGATGTTCTGAAGCTCTTCCAGCATGGACAGCATCTTTTCCATCTGATCAACATGTTTCCTTGAATCCTCCAATCTAAAAGTACAAAAATCTTTAGGTCAGAATTGTTTATAAAACTTTTTGTGGGGAATAAATTATCTGTTTGTTCACCTCAGGTCAGACAAGACATCCATCTCCATATGGAGTTCATGGAGCTTAGTCTGCAGGTTCATGATGGCTCTTTGAGGACTACCGGTAAATGTTTCTTGCTCTGGTTGATCATGTGTCTTAGAAAAGGTGACATAATGCATTACGTATGCATTCACTCAACCAACATAAAGTTAATACCAAATCTGATTTGTGGCTGTAATGAAAGCATGTTGAGGTGCAAATCAGACAGCTGCAGAAGACAGTTACCTTTTCAGAGGATCTGCTCTTGCTCTGGACCACCTCCTGTTTTAAAGTGTCCAGACTGCTGACCAGAGGTTGAGTCACTACATGCTGGTGGGCTGAAAACATGGAGGCATCTTCAGATGAGTCATCTGCCAAATCAGCATATTGTTTATCCTGCACTCTGTATTTGTTGCTAATGCTAAGGGTGATAGAAAATGCCTTTTGTTAAAAAAGCTAAGACAAACATTTTGATTGGCAAAGTCTATTTCCTAGTGGAGATGATAATAGTAGTCTCAGTCACTGCATTATATTCTGGATGTAAGTGATAAGAAAAAAAAAACTTGATACGTAAGCCACATTTTTTTCAGTCAACTAAAAAATAACCAAGACGTAGCAAACAGATGAATCACGTCACAATTAAACCTACGATTAAGGCAGCTTTCTCTTAGTGATGTGTCCGCATAAGTGCAGCTGAACTTCTTCAGAGCCTCTCTGGTTGCATTTTCAACCTCCTCTTGCAGCTTTTGTGTTTCTTTTGTTCGTTTCTCAAGCTCCTCGCTGTCGAGAAATAAAAAGTTGTAAATTTGGACCATTCCTTTGATAGTGCGTTTGAAAAAAATGCAGACATTTATTGATTTTTACTGGAAGTCTTAGACAGGAACTAATTGTGCCCTGATGCGGGTCTTAAATACAATTTTAAGGCCTATGCATCTGATGTTTTTATTTATGCATTTCAGAGAAAAATATTGGACTTGGTATTAATGTACTTCAATTTGAGAGTTTTACTTTAATTGCTAGTTTGTCTAAAAACAATCATTTTATGCTACGAAAAATAAAGCCAGCTTTAATGCGCATCACAATGTTAGACATTAATCCTGATTTTTCACTCATTTTAAACCTTTGGTTTGTCATTTTATCTCTCTAAACACATTAATTAATTCCAGCAAATGTTAAAACGTGACAGCTTGTCAGCTGATGCAGCCCAAAGATGGCCCGATTTTCCACTAAGCATTAACGAACATTTGTGTATACATGAATATGATGCACATTTTATCTCAACATTCAAAGGGATGAGCGATTCCTTTGATTAAAATAACATCGGGCTATTAAGTTTACCTCAGCTCGTCCAGGGTTAGACTGTTGAATCTCAGCCGAAGGAAGGTTCTTTGAGTTCCTTTAAAACAAGTTAGAATTTCAACTTAGCATCTAGCTAGCTGTATGTGCAAACTAATAAATTAACTCAACCACGTTAGCTAGCTTACCAGATTCAGCTTTATCCTCCTCTGGAGAATCAACGTCTTCATCAGTGGCTAACCCGAAACTCTGAAGCTCAGACGGCTGGAATCCCGAAGACATCGCTCACATTCATTCCAACAACACAGAGACAACATTTAGCTAACAACAGCTACCAGGAAAAAACGGAGTTCCATCACCATGGAAACGACATCCGAGGCTACAGTTGAGCTAACTCCAAGCTGGCGTTCATTCCGTAAAAACATTGAACGTTAACAGCAAAATAACATTGTTAAACTAGTTTTGTGGGTTTGATAAGCCCAACACAACAGAGTTGCCTAGTTCAGACAAAAACTTGGAGATGAAAACACTTAGCGCCACGAGAACTTTGAAATGGTAGCGCGTGAACATCCACGTCGAGACGTCCTCAACGCGTCCAACGTTCCAAAGTTTGGTGCATGATGGGTAATGTAGTTTTTACTCGGGTTAGCGAGAACTTGTCCGTTTTGGATGTTGCTTTTCGTCTGTGATCGATTATCTTGATTTTTTTTTTATATATTTTTTTTAATCATATCTCTGAACAACATGTAGTCATGAATAAGTGAGCTTTGTGATTCAGTCGCAGAGCTGATTATCTGCAAGGCGACGGCTTTTGGACGAGGTAAAAAACAAACAAACAAAAAAAACCGGCTAGTTACTCAGGGTAGCAAACCAAGCTAAGTTAGCCGAAATCGATGTATTTCATCATTGACTTCTTTGTTTAAATATAAATAATATTTTACTTAATATTTTTAAATAGCTTTTTATGAAAACCTCGCTGAGTACAGCCTGTTCTGCAGTGTCCTACTGTTTATGTGACCTACTTTCAATGGATGTTCATAAATCATGTCATCTGAAACTTGTTTGGCAAATGAAGGTTTTGTTTTTGCATGTTTTCAAATTCAAACATTGATCCCGTGTTAATGTCTTAACAAACAGGTTTTGTTAAACTTCTGTTTGATTTAGGCGGTGAAGGAACTTTATTACTGATATTTGACACCCATTAGTGGTTTGGGACTAAGCTTTTATACATTTGCTCCTCTTCTCATCCTGTTGTGGAATTCTTATTGCAGAGGGTTTTATTTGATTTAAAGCCACGTTGAACTGTTTAAATATGTTTCCAGGATGAGGGATCTTCAGGGCATTGACTGCTTGCTCTTGAAGGAGCTAAAGTCATGCTGTGCAGAAGAGTACAACTTTCTTCCCAGAGAAACTGGCCTGAACCTGATGGAGTCCACATCCCCAGAGGTGACCCACTTATTTGCATCTTGGTGCAGTTGTATGTTGCTTCCAAAATAACTTCTTAAAAATAGATAATGGTCTTTTTTTTAGGTTCACTCTGGAGTTTCTGCAAAATGCAGAGACAGCAGAGTGGAAGAACTGTGGGGTCTGACCAGCTTCTTTGGCTACAGGACTCAGACTTTTGTCCAAGCTGTCAATTTGCTCGACAGATTTCTTACCAACATGAAGGTAAGTACTCAAGTATAATATATTTTGAGTTTTATTTTCTTTTAAGTACTAGGGTACTTGTTTGTGTTAAATTCACATCTGTGTTACTGTTGAATCAGTACTCAGGTTTTGAATTTGCGCTGGATTCTGTATTCTTATCTTAAAAGAAACGAGTTTGCAAAGCAATTAATGAACTCATGCTGACAACATATATCTCACGAGCTTTCTGTATGAACCAGTGTGACCCCTCATTGTTTCTAACACGAGTGTTAGGGTAGTCTCACTAGACTGCGACTGTTGGTGCCTTGCTGTCGAACAGCATTTGTGCAGGAGTTACATTCATGTCGCTTGAGTGTTTTAACCATGTTTAAAAAAAAAAAAATAAATAAAGTGTGCAATACATTTTCTCTCATAATAGTCACAAAGTTATTCTGGGCATCTCTAAGCCATCTCAAGAGCCCTAGAGCTATTTTGTCTCCTCCCAAGGGAGCCCTCCTTTGAGAGAAATGGTCTGAACCAAATGTCCGGGTCTAAAAACCATACCAACGATCAATAAGAAATATTGAAAACCTGGTCCAAATCTGCCTGTCTTCATTTCAAACGTGCACTCCAGCTAATTAAATTATGAACTTGAGGGCAGCTGCCAAGGTGTGTACAAAAACAGCTGATAAAATAATGTGAATAATAGAATACAGCTTTGCAAGCCATTTGTAGCCATGAATTTTAGTCTTTATCTAATAATCAACGTATAACCGCACTGCTCGCTGATTGCTTAGTTGCAAACACTGAAGAATTCAATAAGACTGCAACTGAAAATCATCCGTTTTTATTGCAATTGTCTCACAAATTTCAGTCCCCAACTAATCTCCAAGAGTTGCAGCCCAGTGAGATGCCTTGCCAAAGTATGATCTTTGGCAAGGCATCTCTTGAATCTTGGGTTCTAACTGTGCCTGGGGAGCTCAGAGCATTTGGAAATGTAGAAATCTTAAAATACTTCCTCAGTCTGCCTTTTAGCTTGGATAGAAATGCCTTTATATTACTGCATGCTTGCAGCTGTCTTTCAGACCATTTTAATCTATTTTTGTACATCTACTCCATTCTATTAATCTTGCCATCACTCATATATTAAGTCAAATTGCACCTAAACTTTGATCACCTATACGAAGAATAGAACCACAAGATGTTGACTTTGTTGTTTCCTTGCTGTTGTGACAGGTCCAGCCCAAACATGTACCCTGCATTGGTGTGTGCTGTCTCCACATTGCTGCCAAAATGTTCGAGGAAGATTGTAATATCTCATCCTCTCATGAGCTCATTCGCATCAGCCAAAGCAAGTTCACTGTGTCCGACCTCAGCCGCATGGAGAAAATCATTTTGGAGAAACTCTGTGTGGAGCCCAAAGCTGTGACGGCCCTAACCTTCCTGCACCTCTACTACTCAGCTGTCAACTCCCTGTCTGCTGGCAGGTACACACTTCTTTCTCTGTCACACGTTGCTCTTACTTTGACCGCTCCAGTTCCTGTGGAGCCAGTCCAACTGAGTCTGCTTCACAAGATCTGTACTAGTAGGATTCCCTTTATATTTTAAGGGAGGAGGTCCCAAGCATCGGGAGACTGGAAGCCCAGCTGAAAGCCTGTTTATGTCGTCTTGTTTTCTCGAAAGCAAAAGTAAGAGTTATTCTCGAGGAACGGAATGTCAGTGTTGCAGCATGCTCTGAGTTAATTCTTCCCTGTTTACAGCCGTCAGTGTTGGCTTTGTCCCTCATTGCTCAAGAGTTTGAAGCCCTCCAGTCAGCTGCATTGTTGAAGATTGTCCAGCAATTCCAAAGACATCTAAAGGTACATTTTGTCTGGACAAAACCCTCACGTTTTGGATTAATATAATAACAGCACAATGTTTTTAGACGAGACTGACACTGAGCTTGTATGGAGTCATGATGGTGCTACTGTCTTACTTTAAGCCGTGTAAAAAAACAAACAGCTGCCTCTCAGATGTTTCCTGTCTGTCGTCCTCACAGATCGGCGATGGCGAGCTGCTCCACTGGAAGGAACTCGTTACCAAGTGCATGACTGAATACCGCTCGAGTGAATGCACCAAACCAGACAATAAGAAACTGGTCTGGATCCTGTCCAGGAGGACTGCACAGAGTCTTCAGACCCGTCACTTCAGCGTGCCTGGTCTACCGACCATCCCTGAGATGAGCTGGGATGAGAGTGAAAGGTTCATAGTCCGGTTATTTTCAGATTCATTCACGCTGCTTTCATGCTTTTGTACTGAACAAGGTTGAAATGGTTTCACAAAATCTGCAGTTTTGTTCAGATTTTAGGGGTCACCGTTTTTGGATGGGTTCATTTTTTCTTAATTCTACTTAATTTTCTATTTTGTAAACGCTCCAGTTCGTTGATCATAAACCGACCGATTTGACTGGGGGAGTGGTGGCGCAGAGGTTAGATGATGGGCTTGTGATCAAAAAGTCACAGGTTCACCTCCCGGTACCGTCAACATCAAAATGTGGGTGGAAAAGGTGAAACACCCACACCTCCCTCCACCCTCATTCGCCCCACCCTGGCCCCCCGAGCAAGGGCCCTCAACCCCCACCATCCGCTCCCCAAACAGGTCTCTCTTGAAAATGAGTTCTCGTGGCTCAATGAGACTACCTGGATAAATAAAGAGTAAATGTAGTGAAAAAATGACTGAAAAGTGGTTCTTCCAAATCAAAGACATTTTTTTAGATAGTCTTCTTTTTGTGTCTTACAGCGAGGACTCCTGTGAGGACATGAGCTGTGGGGAAGAAAGTCCATGTGGCTCGTTAGGAAGTGACGGTGAAGGAGCATTCTTCCCCTCCACGTTCCTCGACCGTGCAGAGTGATGGCTGTCCATCGTGAAGCAGATGTTTGTTTTCCCCTGAATGGTGTCAGATTTCAGGGCAGACGTGCGCTTTGTGTTTTGTTTATCATAAGTACGTATGCAACTCAACTCGACTGATTTTCTATGATAAAGTGCCTGTGTTTGATCAGTTTGTCATCTGCTTGTGTAATAAAAAATGAAATCGTAATAATGCAGTATAGTAAAAAAGCAATACTCTTGGCAGCTTGTTATTAATACAACTTAATGTCTCTTTCCAAGTTCTCTTTGTGTTTGACACGTTTTAGGATGAATAGAAAGAGCACAAGAAGAACCAGAGAATGTGTCCAATACCAGCTAATATACTCAAACATTCTGAATGTTTTGTAGTGTTTTTCTAATACTTGACACCAGTATTACGCATATAAAATGTACGTTCATATAAAACCAATATGTGTCATGGGTGACATTTTAGTGGGAAAGTTAACTGTAAATGCATGGAGACATTGACATATGTGAGTATGCATGTTGTTTCTATCTACTAAGATAAGCTTACTGTGAAATGTAAAAATAAAATGTTTAAAACATGTAAAAAAAAAAAGTTTTGTGATGCCATATAACCATTATTGTTTGTTTAAAGACCTTATGATATGTATGAAATGCAAAAACAATACTAAATTAAAAAAAATGTTAATTTTAAAAGGTTTTGTTTATCATCTTTGGTTGTTTGCGAAAACACTTTAGAATCGATAGTAAACTGGTGTCATAAGATACTTTCAAGTACACAAACTTGTAGTTATTTAAAAATGGTCTTGATTTTGTACTGGACATCCGGCACACGTCTTTAGATCACTGTAAACACAGTTCACTGTTCACAAATGCTGCTTAAAGCTCTATCATGCAATGAGGAGCCCATATAAAGTTAGCTGTTTTCTGTTGGGGGGGGGGGGGTGTGGAAACTGATTTATAATAGACCGAGGCAAAGTGCCCCCATCTCACACCTGACCCCTGTATTCATTAAACTGAGCTGTTTCAATCATTCCTATATGCCCTTTACACCACTCCTCATGTGCTTTATGTTTTTAATATTTTGTGTTTTAGCTCTGTCGGCTTTTTGTTTTGCAATTCCATTTCATTAGCTTGCCGACGCCCCTTTTTTATAATTAAAACCGTTCCGTTCATAAAGTCCTTGCATAAATATGCGCTTTTGGTTCTTTCCGACAACAACTGTGACAACAACGTCCTCCATTCTAAAGAGGAGAGGGGCTGTTTCCAGCTCACAGTTCAAACGCCCGCCTCTCTTATGGTATGGGGGTGCATCCGTGCCCCTGCCAAATGCAGCGCACACATCTTAGAAACCATTAATGTAGAAAAGTGTGTACAGATTTTAGAACCAATGCTCCCATCCAGCAGCAAAACTGTCAAAGGAACAACAGTCCCCACAAAGATCGTGCGCGTCCCGTCGGGGTGTCTTCCTCATCTTTCTGTGTCCCTCTATTTCTGGACCAACTCCTTTGTGCTGCAGAGAAGCTTGCCTCCGTCAGTGAGAGGGGGTGGAGGAGGCGCTGCTGTCTGGATGTTGACATATTTCTGCTCATGATTAAACCCGCAGCCAGGACGGAAGCGGCTGCAGCAACATCGGAGGAATGAGAGTGGACCGAGCCAAGACATCTCCACCATCATCCTCATCCTCATCATGCAGTCCGCCGAGCGATCATTTCCCGCGGGTCTATGAGACAAGGAGCGCCGGATCGTCGGGACAAGCCCCGGACATGACCACATAAACCGACTCCTCGCTGCGCACCGGGGATGAAAACAGACCCAAGATGGTCCGCATCGCCAAGGCCCTGGGTCTGATCATCCTGAGCGTCGTCGTGCTCATCCTGTCCCTCATCAGCTACGTGTCTCTGAGGAAGGACAGCCTCTTCAGCTCCAGTAAATATTACGGAGGGCCCAGGATCATGTTCCACGCAGGATTTCGGTGAGTAACGATGCTCAGCAGGTTGATGTAAACAGACAGAGGCCCGAATGTGTGGACAGCTGCACCTGGACACATTGTCTTTATCAGGCCTGGAGCTGCATGTCCAAAGTGTTTTATCCTTATTGAGATGCGTGCAAAGGTAAATTACAATGCTTAAAAGAAAGCATGCATGGACCATATGTCTGCACAGCATTGGCCCTTCCCTAAGTCACCATCAAGATACTTTATTTTTGGCCTGATTATGTTAATAAATAAATAAAACAACAAAACAGACAGGTGGAACAAGCCCACATGGACTATTTGACACATAAAATAAACTGATGCTCACATTTTAACTACTGAAATCTTTCTCTTTATGATTCTGACCTATTTATTATTTTCCTACATTTATTTATTTATTTATTTACTGCACACTTGGTGGTGTTTTAACCCGGAATTCATTCATCCCCGTCAGGAGTGCTGTGGCTTTTGGTTTTTTATAAGTTTTATACTTTTCAAAATATTCAAATATTAGCAACACCTTTTCTCAATAAATGCTTCAAATCAGTCTAAAATTGTTTATTTTTACCTTCGGCATGTTTGATTTATTTTTGTTTTCTTCTTATGTACATTTTGCTAATGTTTTGATAGCTTTCAGCTTGTAGTTTGCACATTAGCTAGCATGTTACTACTTTTAGCTTGCATTTAGCTACTTTTAGATTCTAGATGGTCGGTTGGCTCTTTTAGCTAACTATTGCTATTTTAGCTTTAAATTAGCCTTTTTCTGCTTTTAGCTTGTGTTTTGCTATTTTTGTATTTTAGTGTCTCACTACTTTTAGCTTTTAGATAACTTTTTGCTCCTGTTACTTACCCCTGTGCTATATTTAGCTTTCAGCTTGTCTTTTGCTACTTAGCTAGCATAGCTTGCATTTTGCTTTGAGTTTCTAAGCAGCATTTTTGCTACTTTTAGCTTCTGCTCTGTTTGTTTTAACCTAAACTGTTACAGTTTTTTAAGCAAATTTCAGCAGTTATTCACTCTGATCTGCATGTTTGCAAGAAAATCAATTACAGAAGTTCAGACTTAGATGTAATCAGTTAATCAGAAATAGACAGTTTTATGTTAGTTATATTCTACTTTTTGAAAGACTCAAACCAAATCGTATTTGCTTGTTTTCCAGTCACGCAGATTGTAAATGAAGTCTTTAAGCTGCCTGTTACCGGCATTTTGTTCCAGCTTCACCACATTTTACTAAAATTATCCATGTTTAAAAGCTATGAAAATATTTTATACAAATAAGGTGATTTCAAAACACAATCAATCAAAAATGTAATATACAGTAAATATGATCGAGTAAATAGGATGTATTTCCACAATTTTCTCAATTACATTTATTTTGGAAAACAAACAAATAAATAAATAAATAAACTGACAGAATATTTGCCTCATAACTATGACCCAGTTCACTGAAAGGCATCTAAAAGCTGAAGGTTCTTCTTTATTTTATTTATTTTCAGGAACTTTAGGAGCCACAAGAATATCTGCAGGCTGAGAATGAAACACTTTGTTTGTTATAATTTAAGGTCTTGCCTATTAAGAGATTATTTATTCAAGGAAAAGATTCCGTTTGATTAGGTAAAAAATCTTATCAGATTTCTTGCTGCAGTACTTTTGGATCAACTGTGAGATTTTAATAGTCTTTTTGTTTTTTCTTATTATTTCCAGCCTAGATAAGATTCACATGAACCAGTTTTCCTGCAGTTTTCTGGGACATGCTGTGACCAATTTTTGCAATGTGGCTCAGGAAAAAAAAAAAAGAGGTCATAGACACATTTTTTTCTTTGTGTGTCAAATTCTGTCTAAAATACTGACTTTATATGAGTCAAGAGTTTTAGAAAAACATAATCTAAGTTATAATTTATATAGAAACTTAAAACTGTTTCTACCATATGTTTTTGGCACTTTACAGAAAACGGCACCGTTTATGTGACATGGGCTTATGTGGTGTAGTTATGAGTTGTCAGTATCTTACATCCATCAGAGAGCAGTCAACAAACTATTGAGAGGTTAAAAAATAACACATACAAACACAACCCCCTATATTAATGATGATGATGTTTGATGATGGTGTCTGTTTTTCCTTTCCACTGTTGCCTTCGTGCTTGCTCAAGATGAGAGTTCTGCAATGGAGTTAAATTCAAAGCAGTCTGCTCCTCAGATAAAGAGTGTGAGCTTATTATTTTTATATGAATGTTTCTGTTCAGTGCCCTGAGACGACTTCTTTTGTGACTTGACGCTATATAAATAAACTGAATTGAATTTAATTGACTTGTCATGTAGTTTTCCTAGTTATTCCTTAATGAAACAGCTTGCTGTTGCTGTTTTATTGTTGCCTTCAGGTCTCAGTTTGCCATGAATTTCTTGGACCCTTCCTTCATCCCTTTAACAAACGCCCTGAATGAAGAGCTCCAAGGAAAACCATCGAAATGGAAGTTCAACAGGACGGCCTTTTACCTGCAGAGGTAAGCTTCTCCTTTTTATCATCACCTGCCGCCATGGAAGTTGGGTGATCATGCATCTGTTGGCAAAATATCCCATGAACCACTGGGCTGATTTTAAGGAAACGCCCAGAAAGTATTTATTGGACGTACTGCACATCCATAACCAAATAACTTTTGAATGGCAAGGTGGCCCCTAGAGCTAACAAAACTTAGCAAACACACAAAAAGCCATAACCTAAATTAAATTTACAATATCTGTAGTCTTGATATTGTAAATTAAATTAATATGAAGACTACAGATATCGAGCTACAGTCTGGTGATAGTAGCTGATAGTTATCCCACAAATGTACTTCAAGTGCTAAAAGATGTGCAAGATCTTTATTTAAAGCTCTGGCATGTAAGGTGGCGGGCGATATGCATTCCTTCCTGCCATGCTACTTTCAATACTTGTACATTTTACTGTGTAGCAGCAGTAGAATATCAAATGTCCAGCTGATTGTTTGTATTGTTTAGAAGAAAGTGGAATCTGTTACAATTTTATATCGCTTATGGTGAAAAAAAAATAAATTTAAAGTACAAAGATATGTTCAAATGGTTGTTGACCGAAATTAGGGAGAAAAAACAAACAGGCATCACAAGCCGGCCTGCTTATAAAAAAGTAGATGTCTCTTTTAGCTGCTGAAATATTTTCCTGTTTTTCAGGAAAGATATCTTCAGCTTCATCAACATTCCCAACAACTTCTCCCTCACTAAGAACAGCGTTCGTGTGGGCCAGCTGATGCACTTTGACTACTCCAGCCATAAGTATGTCTTCTCCATCAGCAACAACTTCAAGTCCCTGCTCCCAGACACCTCTCCCATCCTCAACAGGCACTACAGTGTGTGCGCTGTGGTGGGGAACAGCGGCATCCTAACTGGCAGCCACTGCGGCTCTGAAATCGACCAGGCCGACTTTGTCTTCCGCTGCAACTTCGCCCCCACGGAGATCTACTCCAAAGACGTGGGGAGGAAGACCAACCTGACCACCTTTAACCCCAGCATCCTGGAAAGATACTACAACAACCTGCTGACCATACAAGACAGGAACAACTTCTTCCTCAACCTGAAGAAGCTGGAGGGAGCCATCCTTTGGATTCCTGCCTTCTTCCTTCACACTTCTGCCACAGTAACTCGAACCCTGGTGGACTTCTTCGTGGAGCACAAAGGCCAGCTGAAGGTTGAACTGGCCTGGCCTGGAAACATCATGCACGATGTCAACAAGTAAGACGTAACTGATCAGTAGTGGATAAAACACTCCACTTTATTAAAATTTAGGAGTAGTGAACAATTTATGGCCTCTTTTAATGTATTTTACTCTCATATTAAAAGATGTTTGAATAATAACTATGCACACACATTGACTATATACTAAAATATGTTAATTCACTTAAGGAATACTGCCTTTACCAAGATACTCTGTGTTGAGTCAATACACTGGTTACATGATACAGTATAAGTTGGAATGATGTTCTGATTTCTATAATAAATACAACTAATCATTGTCATCGATCATCAAGATTGACTGAACATGACTGAACACACTCCAGCATGGCTGTTGTTCAGGAACCAGAACCATAGAGTTGTCTGGGGTTTTTCTGTGCCACAGTCACCAGAGAGTCCAGCTCTGTACCCACCACAGAGCCAGCTTCCTCACCAGTCTGTCCAATGATGCCATGTCTTTTTTCCTGGTTGCATTGGCTGGACGCCTGCCCATAGTCTGCCGGAAAAGGCTGGGTAATAAACCAGTTATAGTTTATACATTAGGTAGATGGAAACATCAATACTCTGAAATTAGTGGACATGGAGTAATATTGGAAGAGAAATGAGGTTAGATCAATGGTCCATTCGAGTTTCTGTAAATTAGAAAAGTCACGTATGTTGGATTTATTACTGATGAAATGACTTCCTGTTTCCTCGCAGATACTGGAAGACTAAAAACCTCTCCCCCAAACGTCTGAGCACTGGGATCCTCATGTACACGCTGGCCTCCGCCATGTGTGATGAAATCCACCTTTATGGCTTTTGGCCCTTCGGCTGGGACCCCAACACAGGCAAGGAGTTGCCTTACCATTACTATGACAAGAAAGGGACCAAATTCACCACCAAGTGGCAGGAGACTCATCAGCTGCCCAGTGAATTCAAGCTGCTCTACAAGCTGCACAGGGAAGGTGTGACCAAACTCAGCCTAACACACTGCACATAGACTCATCCGATGGTCAACGACTGGAAACCAGGAGTCGTGTACTTCAGCTCTTTTATTTGGTGACACATAAGCATGGTAAATGTTATAGGATAGGGAAGGATTTTCATTCTGCAGACACATGCCACTTTATAATTTCACTTGACGTCTTTCTCACTGGGAAAGTAATCCACTCAGAATATTGAGGCATCCTTCGGCTTACTGTGGCTAAACACTGACAAGGATCTCAGCTGGAGAGTCAAATATTCCCATTCTGATTAATGCAGATCAGTCTCCTTTACAGTACACTGATTATGTAAACTGAAATCACTGCCTAATCTCAGGGAAGGAGTTAGATCAGTGTTTTTTGCAATCAGATTTGATGTCCAAGATTGGTGCAGGTCATTCTGCACTGCTGTTGAAGATGGTATTTGTTTACAAGACGACTCACTATAGATACATGCTTGTCTTTTAGTTTTTCTAGTGTGACTGTCAGCTTCAAACATCATTAAGATTCTTCAGGTCTTTGAGATAATAATATTCAACATTCCAACAATAAGCCATAAATTGATGAACTCACAATATCTGTTGTCTTTAAGGTTCATAGCTGCAGAAAGTGGTGTCGGCCTACATACGTTTCTGGGGCTGGGCGAATTATTTCAACTAAACTACAATTCCATAAGGCCACAATATTAAATCTGGGACATTTCAGACATAAAAACTGGTGAAGCTCGGGTCAAGTTGAACCAAAATGTTCTCACCATTGTAGAATGGGTTTGACACAGTATGATTTTTCATAAAACCTGTTTCCCATTTTCTCTACTAAATTTTAATTGCAATACATGGACGTGACAAGACGAGGCTGTTTAAAATCGCTGTAGCATTTTTAGACATATTATTAAACGTATGCTGTTATTTATGGGCGTTATAATTATGGTGAGTGATAATAATCCCTCGAAAACTTAGAAAATGTGTTTTTAAAGGGTTGAAGGTCTGATTTTGTTTTCTAGCAAAGCTTACTGTTTGTCCACTAACGAAAATTAGACACTTTTTGATGTTTTCATTTACTTATTTATTTATTTTTTGTCTAAACTGGAAGCCAGATGTTTTAGCAATGAAAGACTTAAAGTGTAATCTTCAAATCTGAGAACTGAAGCGGTCATATTTTTATTTCAATGTAAACTGTCCAATAACAATGCATGCTAGTGTGAATTTACAAATGTAATATTTTGGATGTTATTAAGATATCATGCACACCATTCACATGCCAGACAAATTTTATGTCATCTTGATTATCCTTCTACCTGAATGAATTTTAGCGAGCTAACATTGGGTGGAGGAGTTTAAATATGTGGGAGTTCATGAGTGATGGTAGCATGGAGCAGGAGATGGAGGAACACATTGGGACCTTGTCATCAGTAATGAGGGTGTTGCTTCGGTCAGTTGTGGTGAGGAAAGCGTAGAGTTAAATCTCAATGCTGTCGATTTACTGGTCTGTCAATGTTCCAACCCTTATGGTCATGAGGTTTGGATCATGAAAGAACAAGATTCTGGATACAAGTGGTCAAAATTAACTTCCTTAGTAGGGTGGCTGGGTTCAGCCTTAAAAGATAGGGTGAGGAGCTCTGTCATCCAGGGGAGCTTGGACTAGATGCTCCTCCACGTTGAAAGGAGTCAGCTGAGGTGGTTCTGAAAGCTGATTAGGATGCCTTCCTTTGGAGGTTTTCTGGGCACGTCCCACTGGGAAGAGACCCAGAACTCGCTGGTGACGTCCTCTCTGGCGTAGGAACACCTTGGTGTCCTCCAGGAGGAGCTGGAGAGTCGCTGGCGAGAGCAAGATCTGGGTTTGTCTCCTGAACCTGTTTCCTCCGTGAGCCAACCAGGGATAAGCAGTAGAAGATGGAGACGGAGAAGCTGCATTAGTTTATTCAGTAGTTCTGTTAAGTCAACTACCAGCTGAACTTGCAGTTGAGGTCTTTAATGATATTTATGAAAGTACTATTTTGCAAAACCATTAAAAAGCCATATTTTTTTTGCCAATCTCAAATCTCCACTATGTTTGCAGTCTTGAACAGTTTTAACAGAAACAGAAGACAAAACGGACAATGCAGTCGTGTGAGAGGCGATCCCGTTGGTGATGGTAATCATTTATTTGATCCATTCTTTTTCCAGGGTGAACTGATTATACAAGATGTACTTTAACAGGTTTTACAAACAACAGTTGGACGCACGTTTGAATTGTTTTGTGAAAATTACTCACAGAGGCTCAAATATATACATACACCCCAACAATGTTTGATTAAATGTCCTTTATCAAGTTGTACCTCAACCACAGCTCCTGTGATTATTCTGTCTGGATCTTTGACCACACTTCTTGGAAGAATTAGTAGAGTTCATCTAAATTGGTTGGTTAGTGTAGCTCTGGCTCGTGTATTTCACAACTTTTCAATCGAGTTGAGGTTGTGCCTTTGGGAAGGACATTCCAGAAGCTAAATGTTACCCTCTCTTAAACCAGTTTTATTGTGTATCTGGGGTCACACATTGTCCTGTTGAAACATCCATCTTTGTTCAAGTTTCAACCATCCAGCTGTTGATTTAAGGTGAAGTTGGATCATTTGGAGGTAGTCCTCCACCTTCATTTCTCTATCTGCTCTGTGCAGTTCACCAACCTAACACCATGATCCTCCCACCACCATGCTTGACAGTTGGTACAGTGTTTTTAGGTTTAAAAGCTTCTCCTTGACTCCTCCAAGCATACGTCTTGTCATGGCGACCAAATAGTTCAAACACCAGTGTTCCAGCAGTTTACAGTACACGGCAGGCTTGAGCAAGGGCGGAAATTATGTTTCATTTAAAGAATGTTGGGGGATAATTAACAGAGAGATTCAATAACAGCTATTTTGTGTGTGGGGGTGGGGGATGTTTACTGTTTACTTCTTTCACTACCAAATAAGTAAACTCAGTTTGCAGCACTTGTTTTCAAGATTTTGTTGACAACCATATTTGCGACGATATTTGCAACATTGAATGAATTTCTGCGACTTCTTGCATCTTGTATAAGGAGCATGATCATATAACATTGCATGTGAGGCACTAACAGATATTTGACGCTATAGTTTTATACAACCTTTTTGAAACTTGTTGGAGGGTAAATTTAAGCTTTTGGTATAGTTTGTATTGCCATTTGTGTAATCAGTAATCTTAATCTTTGTATGAGAGTTGTTAAATAGCTATAATAACTCTATTGCTATAACACATGGACCAAAACCTCTACAGATCGATTTACAACAACAAACCCACATTTACTTTTTATAAAGTTAGTCCTAAAGTTTCTTTCTATTCAAACTACAACAGATAAGAACATGTGGATGACCTAAACAGTGAAATCTGGTCACGTGATTGTGGTTAAATAAAACAGAGCTCTAATAGGATTTAATAGAAGTTACTCACTTCTAGTAGTTGAAGTGTGTTTTTGTTCTTATTCAGATTTAGTGTGAGAGGCCTTTGCTCACCATCTTTCTTCACAAATATGACGTTTTAACATCCCTTAAGATTGTTTACCTCTAAAGTTTTCTAATCAGATAAATGTATCTGGTGAAAAGTTTGTAACCAGAATGTTAATCCATTTAATTTCATAAATGTGTCAGAACAATTTCTGTGGTTCCTTCATTCTTGAAGGTAAACCAAAGGCTGTTGAAAGTAAAAAAAAAAAAAAGTCCAAGTTAAGTTCTCGATGCTGTACAACACCAACCAGTTTCAGCAAAACAACACTTTTAATGCTGAATTTATTATTTGTGGCTGCAGCAAGATAATGCAGTAAAACTTGTGACTCCATGAATGTCATACCTTTGGTGTAATTTGACTGAAATTTCCTCTGGTTCTGACATGAATGTTGGACATGTCTTTCAAGAAATGTCTTTTATGTTTAAAATCAAAATGTAGAATGTGTGTAAAGTTGATCAATGCTAACAAAGTCTGTAAGAACTGTCCGTGAGAATAACCGTATGGCTTTTTGTGCATTAAACGACCAGACAAGGACGAGCAGAACCTAAAACAAATTTAAACAAATTTATTTTAGATGCATCACTTTACGTGTTCAGTTCCAAAAACCCTTTAACACTCATGGACTTGTGTTTCTTTGTTTTCTGCATGGAAACATTGTTCCACAACGCATACAAAGCTTTAGCTGCTTGTGTACATGTCATGAATCATGTATTGGACTGTGATGTCTTGTTTGTTTGAACAAAGCAAACATTTGTGTAAAAAAAAAATTGTCTTAAATGTTTTAATTATGCTCCATGATAAATGGCCTTTATGTGCCTGCATATTCCTTATGTCAGTGTTGAATAAAAACTGTATTTTCCTCTGAAATCAGGTCAGAAAGAATTATTTGAAATAATGGTTGACAAATGGTCAGTTAATGGCGGAATTACTATGATCCAATTGAGGGTATTTAAATTAAATTTAAAAAATATGATAAATGTGTTTTAAAAAGCAAAAATGTGATTCTTTTTAATACAGGTCTAACAGGAGAAAGGCTAACGCTAAAACTAATTATCAATGACAAAACCTCAGCAACTTAACTCAACTTAATTTTAGTTTTTATGAAGCGTTAACAGATAAAAAACAGCCGTTAATGAACATTATATTTTATATTATTAATAATTTGACTAATTAAGGTAACAAAGTCTAACAAAATCTAGTCACTGAACAAGATCCTTCCACTCCTGAAAGTGACATTTCATATCACAGGAGCGAGCTTCGGTACGCTAGGGTCAAACCACGAAGGCCCTTGCTTTAGCATCTGCCCATACTGCATCTGACCTATGTGACCCCACCTGCAGGTGGTGAGCCCACAGGAAGGCAAACCCATGGATTTATTTGGGCTGAGCCTGACACTACAGCTCCTAAGATAATTTAGCCACACATACTCCTCTTCCACAAGAAAGTAGCAACTCATGGAGGACAGCTCTGCTTCTTGGCTCTCAGGATCAGTTGGAATTATGTCAAAAGTGTAACTGATTGAGGAATTATGATAATTTGAAAAATGTGTATCGCTTTCTCTTACTTGCGACATGATTGGAAAAAGCAGTCTCAGATTCAGGAGATCTACTCAGTTTGGCTTGAATGTTAAAACTTTACTGAGATTCATTGGAGCAATAAAAAAAGCTGAATTTGTTTTATTTTTGGATCAGACTTGCTCATTATCAAGGAATGTGATGATTACAAATGAAAGTTAAGTTCAACGGAAGGAGCTACAGTTCAACTTTCCTACGTGACACTGAAAGGCTAAATTACTCGTTCATAAAATCTGTCAGAAGTAAACCAATTAAAGCAGATTAAAACCTAGTCTGATTACTCCTCCTCCTTCCTGTTCTCAAACATAGACAGGTTGACGCCATTTTGAATGTGGCAGAAATGCCACTCAACTAAATGGACTGAACTTTAAAGCACCGTTCTACAAAGTGTTTTAAGTTAATCCCTGTCATTCACACACACTAATATATATATTTGAAAAACAAACAGGCAGCAAAGACAAATATTGTAACTTTTAACGTGATTATTAAAAATGTTTACACCTTAAATATTTAGATTAAAGGTAAACACCAAACCAACATGTGTTGTTTTGAGTGTCAACTACTAACGTCTGTAACAATATTACTGTGGTAAGAAATATAGAAACATTCCTATTTAACGTTTAATGCGTCTATAATAACTGGATCTTGAAATGTAGATGTGACGTGTGGATTTTTTGAGTAAAGAGCACTAACGTTCACATTTAACTGATTTTGATTTATCACACTGATGAACATACAATATACTGTAAGCATCTATCTATCTATCTATCTGTCTATCTGTCTATCTGTCTGTCTATCTGTCTGTCCGTCCGTCCGTCCGTCCGTCCGTCCGTCCGTCCGTCCGTCCGTC